CAGCATTCGAGACGGCCCTGCTCCGCTAGCCGGGCCGTTTTTCGCCCTCCTCTGCCCGCGCCCGCTTCACCGTCTCCCCCCGCATGCTCTACGGCGGCCCCCTCGGCACCTACCTCTCCGGTCTCTACTCCTCCTCGGCCAAACCGGCCGTCGCTTCGGTCGGCCTCGCCGGCCCCGGGCCCGGCTCTGGCGCCGCGATCGGAGCCGGTCTGTCTCGGAGACGCGCCGGCTCGCGCTACCGCAGCGCCACCTCGTCCTTCACGACCGCCGGCTCCGGCTCCGGCGTCGGCGTCGGCGTCGGGGCCGCGGTCCGCGACGCCGCCGGCGACAGGCTCCCCCTGACCGGCATCTCCTCCACCTCCTCCTACTTCACTCCGCAGCCTCGGCGCAAGTACGAGGTGAGCCGCACACGCACACACACACACACATGCATGCATCCACGCGCGCAAAATGCAGTCTCGAGTCGGGCCCAGGCCGGTGGCCAGGCGGCCAATCAAAACGGCCAAGTGAGTCGTCCATCTGTGATTGGCCGACTCGTGGGCCGCTTGCATTGGCGTCAGCGGGTCTTCAAAATTCGAATTTAGTTGACGCAGGCCGTTCAAGTTGATGCAAGGATCCTGGTCGAATGTGATATGAGTTTGTTACGACATATTTAAGTAGTATGACACAGAATTATTAGGATTTATGCTAACGTGAAAATATAATGTGTTGAGATGTTAATCTGTTAATAGGATATAATGTTAAATTGCTGACATGACACATTATGACGCTACTTTAATAATATAACATAAAATCATGTCAATAGAATAATAAATATTTTGATGCTAATTTATAATCCGACATGATATAATATGGTGTAATGTTACTTACTAATCTGTAATTTGTCGCTACTTTTATAGTTTGATATCAGATGGCTGTGATGTTGTATTGTGACTTTAATTTAATAATTGGATATGATTTGGTATCATGTTAATATAATAATGTCATATATTTTGATGCTACTCTTATAATCTGCTATGATAATTTGATGATTTGATAATAATTGAATGTATGCCGACAATGAATGCAATTGTAGCTGGATGAGATGGGCCGATTAAATGGAATTGGAGGGGACAATCATTCCGGAGCAAGGCAAAACTATCGCCTCGTCTAATTCCAAGCTCACTGGCCGACATGCATTTGCCATTTACAATTCCTGAAGACGAGCATCGACAACTGGATTTCGAAGTTTCACTTGGTGCGTTATCGTCATGCGTCAGAGCGTTTCGAGTCAAAAGATGGCTGGCTCTGTTGTGTCAATTGGTTTCACCAGAAACGTAACAAGCCTTCGACAAGGATGGTGGTAACGAGAAAAGCACCGACGATTCGGTTGGCTACCTCAAACCTATAAGATGTATTCACCCGATTTCGTGTAAAGTGATGAAGCACTGGTAGAAGTAGAATTTTCCCACAAATGATATCAGTTGGACTGACATTTTCCATTCAAAATATTTTCCATAACTTTCACAAAAGTTGTTCTCATCCCGGCTGGAGTGAACTGCCGTTTCGACCTCGCATCGGTCCTATCAACACCCTC